GAAATCCAATTCAGCTTTCCTTTAGCCTGAAATGTCATAAAAGTACCAAATACCTCTCTTTTGCTTTTACTTAATCATCTACGTGACTAGAGTTGAAAACAGGAAAATGCTGAATTATAGTCTAAGCCATTCATTTGAAGAGAGAAAATATTTTCCCTTTTAAGTTATGATTTCTCAATGTTGTCTCATTTTAAAAACAGAAAAAATTTGCAATACAAATTCTGTACAGAAAACATAGAAAAGTACAAAACACCCATGATGAACTAGCACGGATGACCAATATTAATATATTTTAATAGTTTATACATACTTTCCTTAACCTTGGATCTTCTTGCATGATGTTGCTGTCGTTTTGTCTCATTGTAGCAGCACTATCAGAACAGGATGATGTAATGGGAATAACATGAACCTTGTCGTCTTCCTCACTTTAATGGGATTACTGGTCTTCCACAGCATCTGGTGAGTCACATTAAATTTGATGTGTTACAAGATAAAAGTCTCCTTTATTTCCAGTTTACTATTTTCTTTTATCAATAATTAATGTTGAATTTTATCAACTGTCTTTTCAGCATCTCTTAATATGATCCTAGAGTTTTTACCATTTGGTGCATTATATTAATAAATTCCTTACATTGAATACTCATTTTGATGATTTTTAACATGCTTCTAGACTCAATTATTGCTTTTTCCCTGGGTTTTTAAACTTATTTTCATAGAATATCATGTAGCTAATTTTTTAAAAAAAATGTTTTCATTGATTTCAGAGAGGGAGAGAAAAAAACATTAATGATGAGAATCATTGATAGGCTGCATCCTGGATGCCCCCATTAGGGATCAAGCCCACAACTGGCATGTGCCCTGACAGGGAATTGAATGGTGACCTGGTTCATGGGTTGATGCCCAACCACTGTACCACACCAGCTGGGCTCAAGTGCTGATTCGTAAAGTTTATTTTATCCTGCTTTTATATTGCCATCTTGAAATGTTATAGAAAGATTTCTAACATTATCTATGTTTACAAATATTTAAAATGCAGAAAAAATACAAAATTCAGAGTTGAAGAATGTGGACCATATCTATTATGGAAGAAGTGTTATTTCAAAAGTTTCATTGCTTGTATCGCCAATTATTATAGGTTTCATATTTCTTTCTGAGTCCATTTTGGCTATTGACAACTTCCATTCATTTTATTAAGATTTTCCAGTATTCTCATGGACTTTATATATCTTTGCCATACAAAAATCTACATTCATTGCTTATATTCCCTTTATATTTTCTGGTGTGTATTTTTTTCTCATTTTCCCATTATCTTGCCAGAGGTTTATCTAGTTTTGTTGTTGTTTAATCAAAGAATAAGATCTTGAATTTAATTTTCAATTCTTTTCTTTCTGCTTTGTGATTCATCAATCTTATTTACATTCATTAAGTCCTTACCCTGTTGTCATTATACTGGCTTTCTTGTTCTTTTTATAACTCTTGAGCTGGTTAATAGGCTTATTTCTTTTTAATCTTTCTCAGTTAATAATGAAAATATCTGTGGCTATTAATTTTCCTTGGAGTATTCTTCTGGCACATGACATAAAAAGTATAGATGCACAGTGATCTCATCCTTCTTTTCAAAAAAGTCTATAATTACGTTTTAATTTTTCTATATTCCGGTATTTGCTTAGAAAAGTATTTGACAATTGCAAAAGAAACAGCAGCCAAAATGAAATGATTAAAAATATCAACTTTTGCCCAGCCTGTGTGGTTAAGTGGTTGAGCATCGACCCATGAATTAAGAGTTTCATTGGTTCAATTCCTGGTCAGGGCACATGCCTGGGTTGAGGACTCAATTCCCAATAGGGGGAGTTCGCGTTCGCGAGGCAATTGATCAATGTTTCTATCTCTATTTGTCTCCCTTCTCGCTCTAAAAATCAATAAGAACATATAAATTTTTTTTAAATATCAACTTTCATGGGTCCCTTCAGGTGAATAGAAAGAGAAACTATAAAGTAAGACATTGACTTAAAATATGAAGATTCTTAAAAGGTATGGATCACTTCAAACATGCTAAAAATGATTTAATAAAGAACTTGATAGCTCAATAAAATAGGTGGAACACAGAACTAGATACTATTGTTCTTGCCTCTTAATATACTGTCTTTACTTTCTTATACTTTTCAAAATCTTGTATCTACTCTTTATTTTCATGTACAATTTTAAGTATTAAACCTCCTGAGAATTCATATCAAACTTGCTTCATACAATGCTCATTTCAGCAATTCCACATATTGGAGCCTAATACCTTATTAGTAGCCATGGTAATGATGACAAGTAAAGCAGTTTCAATCATTCTGAATATGTTACTACTGACTTCCTTCTTAAAAAATCCAATCTTTATTGTTGAAAGTATTACATATGTCCCCTTTTCCCCCATTGACCTCTCCCACCCCACCCCTGCTCCCCACCCCAGGCCTTACTATTGACTTTCAATGTCCCAAGCTTAGAGAACATAAATAAAAGGTTGAGATTATTGTTGCCATGAGCAATAGGAAACACAGCGAGTCTCTTGAGACAGGAAAAAGAAATTGATTTTTCCATGTTTTTGCATACTCCACAACAGTATTGAAAAGCAGTTTCTCAGCACGTAACTATTGATCTACTGCTCAGGAGGGTAAATTAAATATGAGATCACGTGAAAACATGTGGGTTGTTCTTTTCATTCATGTGAGATGCCTTTTTAAGATCATCAGAGCTGTAAAAGCATGTGGGGATATATATGCTCCATTTACCTTCAATAAAACAAGAGGTAGGAAGAACCAATGTTGCTTTTAAAACTTAACCCCAATTATTGTTTCATTACCACATACAGGTGTTCATAAAATCATAACACCTAAAACTAGTAAACTGTGAAACCATTTCAAATATAACTTTACTCTGCACATTTTATTGGGTTTTGAGAAATGTATTCAGCTGTGACACATTAAAATAAATCAAACTTTTAATAGCTGAACATTTTGTACCTTTAAAAACTATTGGCTCTACTCATTCATTTTCTAAAAGTTGTAGAATTTTTAATAAATGTGATTCTTGCCGAAACCGGTTTGGCTCAGTGGATAGAGCGTCAGCCTGCGGACTGAAAGGTCCCAGGTTCGATTCCGGTCAAGGGCATGTACCTGGGTTGCGGGTACATCTCCAGTGGGAGATGTGCAGGAGGCAGCTGGTCGATGTTTCTCTCTCATCGATGTTTCTGACTCTCTATCTCTCTCCCTTCCTCTCTGTGAAAAATCAATAAAATATTTTTTAAAAATGTGATTCTTCATCATTTAAACTGAAATGAAATTGATATGCTATAAAAACAGTATCAAGATGTTTATAGTAATTAGTCTAATATTTTCAGTATAATTATGAGGTAAAAATTACTTTTCTCTTCAAATTTTCAGTGTTAAGGTACATGGGAAGATAAAGTAGTTTGTCTATTGTGAAAAATACTATTTTAACTCAGTGGTTGTCAATGGAGGTGGGGGTGGTGGATTTTTTTTTCTTACAGAAGTCATTTTGGCAACTCAGGACATTTTTGGTTGTCACTACTGGTATCTGTTGGTTAGAGGACAGGGATGCTGCCAAATATCCTACAAACTTTAGAAACATCTTTTAGGCCTTTATATAGTACCTTTCTGCTCCTTGTATTTGAGTTAATGGAAATAACTGACAAAAGGAAGTAAAGGAGATAAAAGGAAACTAAATGTGTGTGTGTGTGTGTGTGTGTGTGTGTGTGTAAAATCAAGCATACTATGAGATTTTAACATCATGTTTCATATTCTGAAATTATTATAATAAACTCATTTGTCCCACATTCTGAAATTATTATTAAAATAAACTCTTCTCTTTTTATTAAGATGGCTAATAAGAAAGAACAATTGCCTGGTTGCTGGACCCAGTCCAACAGCCCATTCTATATAATAAAAGCCTAATATGCAAATTGACCAAACAGCAGAATGACCAGCGGAACGACATTGCCAGGTCAGCCAAGGCAGGTGCCAGCAGGGATCCCCTCAATCACCCTGCTGGTTGCCCCACAGATCAGCTGGCAAGGGTGGGGGGCGCCAGGTCAGCCAAGGCAGGTGCCAGCAGGGACCCCTCAATTACCCTGCCAGTTGCCCCACAGATCGGCCCTGATCACCAGCCAGGCTTAGGGACCCTACCTGTGCACAAATTTCATGCACCAGGCCTCTAGTAATTAATAAGCAGACATCTAAAACACACTATCACTGAATGATATTTCTGTCCTTCTCCTTATCATTTACAATGAAGTCATTTCTACATGAAATCTTCATTAGCACCCCTTTGCCTATGTCAGAGAATCCAAACTCTTGAACCTGTTAAGATCTGAAGCTAAGTTGGGCTTTTAGGACATATCCACATTAATGCTGCTGCTCCATCCTCCTCTAAGCCATTCTGCCAGCTAGTCCCTGCAAGTGGGCTATATCCTACCTCTGTTCTTTTTGTGTGTTCTTTTCACACTAGTTCCTTAACTTCAGTACTGGGAGCTTTCCCTTTTTCATTTTGTACCTTTAAACATATTAGCCATTTTTACAGGCCTAGCTCAGTATCATCTCCTTTGAGAAAACTTTCTTTAGTTTTTGTTATCGATTTTTATTTGTTGTAAACTTGTCCAAACTACTAACTTTCTATTCTCTCTTCCTGCGTTCTTACAGCATTTTGTTCACAGCCATACATGCATTTATTGCTAACATGATTTACTTTCGTATCCTACAAACTTTAAGTTTCTGGAGGGCAGGGGATATATTTGGTTCAGTTCTACATTTCTCAAGCTCCTTGAATATTTGATAATTTAATAAAACTGAATTGACTTATATGAATTATAAACTGACATTCTAAGTAGCTCGAGACTGTGAAAATGAAGTACCTATGAGGTACACTGCAATTTTTTTTTTACATTTTTGGCCAGAAAATAACAACTTCATTATCATTGATAAACAAGAAATCCTAGGCTATGGAATATTTTTGTTTCCACTCCCATATGATATGCCCTTTTTAAGGTGAGAAAAAAATCTGAAGGTTCATCAAATTTTGAGGGTTAATAAAAAGCCATAACCATTATGTACTTTGTCCCTTTTTTTCACAGGGTAACATTTTTCTAGTTCAGAGAAAGTTAATCACTACTGTGTGGAAATAAAGATTAATTCAGACAAACTGAGTGAGTGTAATCCTGCCAACTTAATATTCCTAAAGTAGGAATTTAAAGGACATTTTTTAAATATATATATTTTATTGATTTTTTATAGAGAGGAAGGGAGAGGGATAGAGAGTTAGAAACATCCACGAGAGAGAAACAGCAATTCAGCTGCCTCCTTTATATTCCTTACTGGGGATGTGCCCACAACCAAGGTACATGCCCTTGACCAGGATCCAACCTGGGATCCTTCAGTCACACAGGCTGACGCTCTATCCACTGAGCCAAACCGGTTAGGGCTAAAGGACACTTTCTTAAACAGAATGCCTGTGTGCTTGTCTTCGTGCCTCATCTTGTACATGAAGACCAATACATTAAAATGGGTTCTGTGTCGTAAAAGCAAGACTTTACTGACATTTATTCCTAGATGTTTTACTGTTTCCAATATTGTTGGGTTGTTATACAAAAAGAGTATTCTCAGGTAAGTCATGATTTTTTTTCTAGGCTAAAATTATTGCAGCCATGCTCTATAGAGTAGCATTTTCCATCCTTAATCTTCTATTTGGCTGACAGTCACCCTGTCACATTTAGCCTAGCCCAGGGGTGGGCAAACTTTTTGACTCGAGGGCCACAATGGGTTCTTAAACTGGACCGGAGGGCCGGAACAAAAGCATGGACGGAGTGTTTGTGTGAACTAATATAAATTCAAAGTAAACATCATTACATAAAAGGGTATGGTCTTTTTGTTTTTTTAGTTTTATTCATTTCAAACGGGCCAGATTCGGCCCGCGGGCCATAGTTTGCCCACGGCTGGCCTAGCCTATAGGTACTTCCTTTGCCAACCTCTATAAAGAGGTGGAGGGGCAATTGGGCCATGTGTCTTTTTGGTTAGAGGTTCTCCTTTTCATAAAAGAATCTTAAACTAACCTTGTTTTGGCTGATATACAAAGCATATGAATTAATCAGTATATCAACATTTCTGCCCTTAAGTTTGGCCAGCAATAATGACCTTGATCCTGCTATTGTGTGAAAGTCATCAAAAGCCCATAGTAAAAAATGTTGTTTTTGAGGACTGCCTAAAAGACATGCATGCTAGACCTCTATTACTACAAATCTGAAATGCCAGATAGGTTGTTGCAACCACTCATCCATCCTGCACCCACCACAGACTTTGTTATTTTATCACAGAACTTTTTCCCTCTGAACATAGACTTAGTCACAAAACTTCCACAAGCAGTTGACATGTGAGTTGAAACTTGCCATAATGGGGAGTGGTGACCTAAATGCTGCCCTGAATAAAGCCTGTGATATCAAATGAAAAGGAAGCTTGGGAGTGTCATAGAATTGATCTAATCCACCGTGCTTTGTGACTGTGGCCATAATTTACATTGAGAGTATCTATATAAAGCTCTTTATCGTCCTTTGTTTCCTATTTAGTTCTCGGTATCATGATGAAGAATCAGGATTTCCCTGGAGACTAAAAGTCAAGAAAAACTATGTTTCTCAAAAAACAAACAAACATGGACCTGAAGGGCATTATGCTAAGTGAAATAAGTCAGACAGAAAGACAAATACCATACAATCTCACTTATATGTGGAATATTAAAAAAACTAACAAAAGCAACAAACCAAACTCAGATATGGAAAAGAGACTGGTGGTTGCCAGAGGTGGAATGAGGGGTGGGAATTGGGGGTGAAATGGGTGAAGGGAGTAAAAATGTACAAATTTCCAGTTGAAAAATAAGTAATGGGATGTAACATACAGCATGGCAACTACAGTTAATAATGCTGTGTTATAGATTTGAAAGTTGCTAAGAGAGTAAATCTTAAAGTTCTCATCACAAGAAAAAGAATCTGTAACTGAGTAGTGAGATGTACGTAAACTACACTTATTGTGATCATTTCAACGTATACACTAATATTGAACATTATGTTGTACACTTGAAACTAGTATTATGTTATATGTCAATTATATTTCAATTTAAAAAAAGACCAGCATTTGCCAAGTCCTTTTCCACCTAGTAAACAATCCCCATACTACACCTTCCTTAACTTTCTCATCAAATCTTGTTCCAAATTCAAGTAGGGGGGAACTTCAGGCTGTAAGCTTCTTGTGGTTTTCTTATTTGTCACTGGAACTCAGTACTTCATAAATGCAATTTAAACTAATGAATACCTAAATGGTTAATGGAAAGTGCCCTGCCCCCAGGAGTGGCCATTCAGAGATTTTGAGGCAGGAAAAAAAATAAACAAAGCTGGTAATAACCGCTTCACTTTTTTTTTTTGTGGACCCAGAACTGTAACTGGAGGGAGTAAAGAAGATAATTTCAGAGTAGGGGGCCGTAGGCAGAGGTTTAAATGTGGTATTGTCTCCACAGGCCCTACACACAGGGTGCCTAGGAAAAATCATCTGAAGGCTACATCAGGAAGTAGAGGCGCATGCTTACTCCGTGCAGCTGCTTAGCACTAAAGGTCAGCCGAGGGGCTGGTAGGAACACAGTTCCAGTAGGTTCCCAGATATGTTTCCGATCCGGATTCTGCTCATAGTTGTGGTGTTTGGAGCTGGGAAAAATATGAAGAAAAGTCAATTACTAGACGAGGATCTAGGATCCCCAGGCCTGTTCCCTTATATAAATATCTCTGACTTCTAGCTCTGAGACCTGGGAGATTTTCTCTGGAAACTCATGGGCCCCGCCCACTCCTCCATGGCTTCCCAGGACCAGAGGAGGGAGAGCGGGAAGCACGAGTTAGTTCGGAAGGAACCAACAGTGGGTGGCCTGGGAACCTAGGGAGAGGCCAAGACCGAATGTAGGAAAATGCGCAAGAGCGGGATCTGGCCAATGGATCTTGCCACGTATCAGGGACAGAACGTCGGAATTGGTCAAGACAGAGGGGCGTGGAATGCAGGAGGGAAGAAATGCGACCCGGACCAGAGGGCAGAGCCTGGAACCGGAGGAAGAAGCGCAGGCGCCGGCCCTGTGGGTAGGGGCGTGGCCTTGGCCTAGCCCAGAGACTGCGGGAGGGGTAAACACAGGCACAGGAATGACTAGAGTTAAAAGCAGGGACAGGGCACAAGGGAGAGATGTGGAGTCAGCAGAAGGAGGATGAACACCAATAGAGAGGAGGGGCCACGGAGTAGTGTACGCAAGGACGTACCCTGAACCAGAGGGCGCGCCAAGTCCGCAGGGCGTAGCTTTGCTGCCCTCAGAGGCGTCGCGAAGACCGTCCTAGGAGGAGGTTTGAACCCAAGCGGAGGGAAGGGGCGGGGCCACGTTAGCGCGCAGGCGCTCCACCGTGGAAGAGGCTCTGAGCAAAGCCCAGGTGCCCTTAGGAGGCGTGGCCAGGGCGTGGCTTAAGGCACTGTTGGGCGGTCGGGGGCGCAATATGAATGCGTAAGCGAGTGGCGCGCAGGCGTGAGGGGCATGGCGAGGCGTAAGGGGGCGTGGCCAAGATGGCCGCCCGCATGAACCTCATCCTGGTAGCAAGTGCAGGGGCTTATGCTCAGAGCTTTCGGGTAAGATTCCCGGGCGATGTGGAGCGTGGGCAGCAAGGGGACGTGGCCTAATAGAGAGGACAGGGACCCTGTCACACACACAGCCACACTCTGCGATGCGTCCCGGAGCCGGGACAGCTGTTGACCTCGGGAGGATGGCCACAGTACCGGCGGGAATTCTCTGAAGAATGGTGCGGAGGAGGCAGGGAATCGCCCCTTCCTTCTCTAACCCTGCTTCTTCACTCCTGACTGTCATTGGACAACCACACCCCCTTAGAGTTCTGTCCATTTAAAAGTAGAACAGCTGTCCCAAAGAATTCGGGTGCTGGGGGTGTTGCAGTTGCAGAAACCGAGGAGCCTGTATCTGGGTCTCACTCAGACCTGCATTGTTGATCTTCCCCGGAAAGATTCACAGCCACTCCCAGAGCAGAAGGTCAATAGCATAGCTGTGTCATTTGGACTATTCTGGGCCTTCTCTACTTCTCAATTCTTCTTTCCTTTTTCTTTTGTATGCAGCCCCGGGAGCTGGAGGGGAAGAAACTACAAAATACAAACCTTGTTGGTGCCTATGATTCTTTGTGGCAGGAGTTAACAACTTTTGCTATAAGGCTCCTGGAAACTCGTTCTTATAATCAGTGTAATCCCCACCCACCATTTATTTTTGTTGAGAAATATGGGGAGGTAATGAAGATGTGTACACATTAATTTAGGTAGGATTTATTCTGTCAGACAGTGAAAACCATATTGCTTTTTGCTTTCCCTTCTTCCTTTACTTACAATCTGGGTATCTCCACTTTGCTATTTCAGAGTCTTGCTACAATATGGTGAGAAGTCAAGAAATCTCTGGTGGGAAGCTGCCTTGCACCCTACACATAATCTGCCCCTGCATATCCTTCAGAAAGGTTACTGTTCTCAGCCTGCATTGGCATCTACAGTGAACCAAAGTTCATCCCACCCACCTTCCCTTCTGGGCCCTGGTAAGGAACTGCACTGTTCTTAAATATTTTCTAAATGAAAACCTTTCAGCTTTCTAGGGCTTTCCTCCTTTACTCAGAAATTGTAAACTCAGTACCAGGATTGAAATTCACCTAAAGGCGAAATTCACCAAAGGTTCCATTCCTGTGCCGTGTACACACTGCCTTCAAAAGTTTACCACCACTCATAGTTGGAACACAGTAAAAGTTAAGTGAACTTTGTCAGAAGGTGAATATTGTGAAAATATGATGGGAAGAGGAAAGTGCATATCAAAGGCTGCACTGGGGCGGCATACAAAACAGGTTAAGAAATGTATTTTGAAACCTTAGGCAACCCCAGATTAGGAACATACTCTCAGAAAAAGAAGTGGGTAAAAGGAGGAAGCTGAGCTTTCTCAGTTAAGACATGGAAACATAACCTCTAATTTAAATTTCAGAGAATTGCAAGAGGCTGACTTTCTATATCAGGAGATGAGAAAATGAAGGGTCAATCTGATAAGAATCAAGGGATTTTTTTCAATGTTATAACCTTTAGTACTTTTTTTGCTTATCTGTCATATATATATGACAGTTTAAGAGCTGAGGCATTTAATAAATACATGATTTATGAGTGATTTTACAAGGCTGTTAGAATCTTCACACATTTCTAAGTCCGCAAAACAGATGAGGAATGTGTAAGTAAAATTTAATGTCATACATAAATAATCAGTGATAGCAAAAGGCATGTAGCATAGAAAGCTTATCTTCCCTGTGACCCATCTAGCCTATGGTCCCATCTTCATGGACAGACTTAAGGACAGACATATTGTCTGTGAAATCCAATAATGTAGGTCATTCATTCATTGTTGTCTGCTGTGTTTGAGGATTAACATTATTTGTGGCTTCATAATCTTGGGTTTTTATGAAGTACGTGAGTAAGTTTAACAACTTCTCGATAAACTGTTACTTTTCATTTAAGAATTGTGATTGGCTTTAGACAGCAATGCTGACCTTGTACAGTATATATCTTATCTCTGAAGTGTCTATCTTTTTATGTCTTGGTGTATAATTTTGTTCTTAAAGCTAAAAGGCCATAGCTGACTTGGAATTACTGAATATCTTTGACAAGGTAAGCATTATTTTATACTAGAGGCCCAGTTCACAAAATCCGTGCATCGGTAGGGTCCCTAGAGGCTGCTGGCCGCAGGCCAGGGCCTCCCTTCCCCCCAGCTGCCTGCTGCTGTCTCAGCCAGCGGGGGCAGGGTCAGCGGAGGGAGGGGCCATGGGCAGTTGGCCAGACGGCCCTGCCCCCTGGTCAAACTCCCCATCGAGGGGACAATTTGCATATTAGGCTTTTATTATATAGGATATTTGAAATCCTGTTATTTTAAATATGTATGTTTGAGAAAGGGAAGTATTCTAAAATTTTATCCAATGAGCTTTGCTGGTGTGGTTCAGTGGTTGAGCGTTGACCTATGAACCGGGAGGTCACAATTCTATTCCTGGTCAGGGCACATGCCCAGGTTGTGGCTCGATCCCCAGTTGGGGACTTGTAGGGGGCAGCCAATTGATGATGCTTCTCTCTCATTGATATTTCTATCTCTCTGTCCCTCTCCCTTCCTCTCTCTCTCTAGAAATCAATAAGAACATTTAAAAAGTAAAAGCAGAGTAATTCATTTTAAAATAAAAATATAAATTGCTAGAGCATTGCAGTTTGTTTTTTAAAGGAATTCATTAGTAGTGCTAATTTAGTTAAACCCATTGCCTTGAAACTGCTTCATACATGTATTTTGAGAGTGTATTTATTTCCTCCACATTGACCGTGTTTTCATTAAAATGAACTGCCCAGAGTTTTAATACATTTCTGGTGGCTGGGTGTGGCTTCTTATCAGCAGGCCCACATCCTACCCAGTTTCAACACTGGAACTTTGAGGCTTAAATAGGAAAAAATTAGTGATATTTATCTGCTTAATAAAGTTTTACTTTTCTTAACAGAAAGTTGAAAGGTATAAGTCTAAAATCCAATATGCTCATATCTTTAAGATAGTTTTATTTCTTTTTTGCTGACAAAAAAACAACAACAAAAAGTAGTGGTGGCTTGGGGAAATGGAACTTCCCTTGATTAAATTCCCACATCAGATATTCTTGTATGTAAGTTGCTAAGAAAAACAGGTGACAGTCAGCATTTGATTTTGCTTTTGTCATATGACACCATCCCTCCCTGTTTTCACCCAGGATGGTCTCTGCTGCCCTGGACCAGTGAGCATGTCTTGTGCTTATATCCTGGTATATAAAGATAATTCTCAATGTTTCTGGCAGCTCAGTACCCCCAGCAGAAGGCCCAGTGTTCACTTGTGACCAAGAGTGAGTGACCCAAGAATGTTGGAGGTTAGCAGAGATAACTGGCAAGTCCTTAGCTGTGCCTGCCACAGAGAGGACTCCCTGTTGGTGGCTATTCTGATCCTGGGATTATAATCCTCATCACCATCTTTCTCATCATCATAGGCTCAGTGTCTCCCTCAAGTGTTTCACTTTGACCATTTTTAGGATGGGGTGAAGCAAATTAAGCTGTCAATGAAGGAGGAAGATACGGCAATTTCAGAAAGCAGCATTTCACTAGAGCCCTGTGTTCCCTGCTTTACCTTCACTGCCCCCCTCCCCCTAGCTAATCACTGGCTGTAAACTCAAATTGCTGTTTGCTGTCATCTCAAGTAGCAGACAGTAAATGTTGACAGTCTTAACTGTGGGGACTGGTAACATGATAAAATAAAGATAAAATCCTTGCACCTGTTACCCAAGATGAAAATAAAATCAGTTTCACTTAGTGTATTTTCCCATGAAATTTAGACTAATTGTCACATTAAAGTAATTTAGGCATGAGATCTTAGACCATGAAAAAATACATTTAATTATGTTAATTCTTAATTTAATGAAATACAAAGACTATCATCTAGAGTGGAAATAGTACAGTTTTGTTACTAGTCCAATGATTCTTAACGTCATGATCTCCTTACTTTTAGAAGAGAAACATTTCTTTGTAGAACAACTTCGAATAGAATGGCACTGTATAAATGTAGCCACTAGTTTCATGTATGTACAGTAGGTCCTTGGGTTACATCAGAGATCCATTCCTACAGCGTGACATAACACGATTTTCGCCGTAAGTCAGAACCCACCTACATAGGCTCCTATGTCACTTACATGGAGCACATACACAGCAGTAATGAAGTGAAACAGTAAAAAAATTTAAAAGAAAGATAACTCCTGACCTTTACTTGTGGTAAATAAATAATAAAAACATAAAGCACATATGTACACACGTCAAAATGACGGAACTTTTTTTATATATAAATAAATGGGAGATGGTGACGTAACCACGAAACGACATACGTCAAGTCCGATATAACCCGAGGACTGTCTGTATTTACATGTAAATATAAATTTATTAAAATTGTATGGCCACATGTGGCTAGCACTTACCATATTGGAAATGCCCATTGTTAGAGGAAAGAACTGTTCTGTCTGACAGGACTGGCTGATATTATAACTGACCTCTATTAGAAAGTTGTTCTGTATTTCTCCATTTAATTGTGAAGAACACAAATAATGTTTGGAGAACTATAGTATAGTAAGTGCTCACCTACAGGCGTGGATGGGTGCTTGGAAACTGTGACTAACCAGTATTATCATAGGCTCATGGATATAATGAATAAGAGTTAAGTTTCTATGGCATATTTCTGTATATCAGTGAACCTATAGTAAAATTGGTTGCCTTATAAGTCATTTTGCTTAAAATTGCAGTTTCCAAGAACTATGTTGAGGGCTTAACTTTATTGTATTTATTTTACAATGTTTTCTTCACAAATAATTCTGTCAATTCCCAGATAATTTAGGTCAGGACACCCAGCCTGTGTTGTCTTTCATTAACTTTCAAGTAGTCTTGAGAAACAATGGGCAGGTTAAGAGCCCCTTCAGATTATATTAACGGCCCCAGAGGTATCTGTAGCTATAGGGAACTAACAAATAGGGCTGAATGAACTGAGCACCAAGAAGTGTGGGCTCTAATCTCCTCTGCTGATAAAGTGCTAATTCAGTGGTTGGCAAACTGTGGCTCGCGATCCACATGCGGCTCTTTGGCCCCCTGAGGGTCGCTCTTCCACAAAAGACCAACTTCTGCGCATGGGCCACGAAGTTTCAATCGCACTGTACGTGCGCGCCCACACGTGGTATTTTGTGGAAGAGCCACACTCAAGGGGCCAAAGGGCCGCATGTGGCTCATGAGCCACAGTTTGCCGACCACTGTGCTAGGTTAATTGGGTTCAGCATCAAAGTGCCTTTTACAGCCCTGGTGCTCTAATAAAATAATTTACTATGATCATCCTCACAAAGTCACCTGGAGGGTCCTTGTGTATCCAGTCCTGCACTAAGCTCTAGGCCTACTAGGTCTTTAATTAAATGAGGAAATAGCACATCTCAAGTTAAAGTACAGTACAGGGGCAAGGCACAGGAGAAAAAGCTAACAAACATGTAGAGTAATGCTTTCCAATAGATATAATGTAAGCCCTGGCCTGTGTGGCTTGGCTGTAGCATCATCCAGTGCATCCGGGTCTCCAGTTGTATTCCTAGTTACAGCACATACCCAGGTTGTGGTTTTGATCCCCAGTTGAGTGCTTACAGGAGGCAGCCAGTCAATGTTTCTCTCTCGCTCTCCCTCTCTGGCGTGTTCTCTCTCTCTCCCCCTCTCCCTCTCTCCCTCCTTCCCTCCCTCCCTCCCCCCCAAATCAATAAAAGCATAATCCTCGGGT